TGAGACACACGAGTTTAGATAGTTCCGGGCCTTGGAGGCAGTTCTAATTTTGGCCCATACTCTGGGCAGTGAATGCCCTCTTCACACTCCCTTTGGTGGGCCTCGCCTATTACAAAGGATGAGAGTCTCAATCCTGTTTGGTGGTGACCTTTGATATTCTCCTCTGGGATCGAGAGTGGCAGAAATGGAAGACCCCATCCTCCCAAAAGTGTGTGAGAACAGAGGTGAGTGGGCTGGGCAATGCAGGCAGGGCTGGCCAGTCCCGTCTCAGTCACCATTTCTGTACACCAGTCACTTCTTCCTCCCGCGACTTCCTGCTCCTACAGCAAGTCATACAAAGTGCAGCTCAGGCACTTGCTCTCAAGGCCTGCCTCGTCCTTCCTGCCTTTACAGAATACCCCACACATTACTTAACTTGTGTATTATTTCAATTTATTTTTGTGAATATAGCCTGCTTTTTTAACTCAGATAAGCTTTGCTAAAACATTATTTTCTCCAGGCACTGGTGTTACTCAGGAGACTGAGATATGAGGATCACAGTTTGAAGCCAGCCCAGGCAGGAAAGTTAATTAAGTTATTTTCTCCAATTAGCCACCAAAAAGTCATAAATAGCCATAAATGACTCAAGTGGTAGAGCGCCAGCCTTGAGTACAAGCTCAGGGACAGAGTCTAGGTCCCAAGTTCAAACCCCAGGGCTCACCCAGAAAAGATACTTTTCTGAGTTATGGAAGGCAGAATGAATAGATTTTCCCCATGTTATGGAAAAAATCTAAATGTGAAAAATATAGAACTAACTCAAGCCACCTCTTAGAAATGTTTTTATTCTAGATCCCTTGCCTTTAATCTATGCTGTCTTATTATTTTTAATATCTCTGCCAGAATTTCCTTCTGGAGTTGGTCATGTATATAAATATGTCATTGTATCTGTCACATCACAGTTGATAAGATGTAACATTATTTTTGTGTAGCACTAAAAAAGAAAAAAAACTACTTAACCTATGAGGCTATAGGATTTCAAAAATGGGGGTTGGGGGGAGTGAAGAATGAGAGGAATATGTGGCTCCTTAGATAGAAGATAGAATTGTCTTTTTAACATTAAGAGTAGAGAGAAAGGGTAAAGATTTTTTTCAGTTAGGCTGAAGTTTGTATCCCAATTCCTTCCTCACTAGCTGGAGGAAGTGACCCCGTCTTTGAGCTCCAGTTTTGCATCTGTGTTTCGTGTAATAAAACTTAAGTAAATTTATGTCCTTGGATAAAAGTTCTTTGTGTAAGAATGGTTCTAAACTGAAGTGCTTTGAAAAGAGGGGTCTTAGTATTACCACTGCTCATCCTTGGCTGCCTCTGTCTCCTTGTTCTTCATGACTTGTCTGATCCTGATGGCTGAAATGTAGACTTCAGTGGTTAAATGTGTGACTACTTTGGACAAGCATCCTCTGCTTGTTGAATACCTATGCATGATCACAAAAAAGAGCAGCTGTCATTTCACCTTGTATAAACAGTGGTTTGGAGCCTCAACTATATTCTCCATGTTCAGGGACTTCCTCCTGGAAATGGGGTAGAATTTTAATTGCATCTCTGATTTCTCTTTCTTGCTAATAAAATCCCAACTCTCAAACGATCTGCTACTGGTAATCCTCGCCAGAGCTTTGCTTATTATTTTCACAAGCATGGAATTCAACTTTACTTAAATGAAAATTTTTGTGTTTCTTTCATTTGAGAAGTTTTAATAAAGTTTCTACCATCTTGTGACGTACATTGTTCCTGTCATGAACTTAGATTTGTGGCAGCTGTTTCCTGTAAAATGCAAAAAGGTAATTTCAGTAAGTTTCATTTCCTACAAAGATAAAAGCACGAAGAACTATGGAGGAATCACCATATAGGTCTTTTACCATAGAAACCAATGAAAAAATGGGGCCAACACAAGAGCTTGCTTGCTTGCTTGCTTGCTTTTTTTTTTTTTTTTGACACTTTGGGCCATGGAGTAATTTGGCTTCTGACATTGATGCTGTATCCCACAAATTTCTTTCTACAATATTGTCAGTAGTGGTTATTTCTATCAAAGCTGATAGAAGATCCAGAACATTGCAAGACTCACATACACATTGTTCATAAGGTAATAAGATTTGAGTAAGTTGGCAGTGATGTGACTGAAACTTAGCTTTCTGTGCATCTTGGCACCCAACACTCCATCATTGCCTAGAGCATACACTGGTGAGAGGGAGACTAGTACATACAAATGCTGTAACCTCCAAGAAGGTATGGAGTTTGCTCTATACTACCCATTGCTGTATTCCTTTACTTGGCATGGCAGCACATGGGGCTGTTCCATAGATACTTGCTCAGTTTGCTAAATGAATGTGGCCTGGTAGCTATTTATGCCTGCATGTGCCATTCTGAGTAATTTCTTATCCAGATTTTTATGCAAACCACCAAGTTCTCTCTCTCTCCTTTCCTTTACAATCAGATATCTCAAAAGCAGAATCTGCTCTTGAAGTTTGAATGCTCTTACATCAAGTTCATTCAAGCTTAGTATTGTCAGACAAAAACAGTGTCCCTTGTCATGTATTTTTGTGTTCTGATGATATTCAATTTGCCTCTTAATTATGAAGGTATGGTTTATAAGCTCATAATGATTCATGAATGCAATGGGAGGTGCCTGGAGGTGCCTGGAGGTGAAATTGATTTTTAAGCATTTCTTTCTTTCTTTTTCGCCAGTCCTGGGGCTTGAACTCAGGGCCTGGACATTGCTCCTGAACTTCTTTTGCTCAAGGCTAGCACTTTAGCACCGGAAGTACAGTGCCACTTGTGGCTTTTTCTGTTTTTGTGGTACTGAGGAATTGAACCTAGGGCTTCATGCATGCTAGGCAAGCACTCTACTACTAAGCCCCACCCCTGAACATTTATTTCTTTATGATTATAAAATTTATAAAAATTAAGAGGATATATAATTTAAAGCCAGAGAACACATCTTTGGCTTTAGTAGGGTTAAGTATGTTTGCTATTGGTCAGTGTTACTGGATTCTTGGGAAGAAATGTTGTAGATAGACATTAAAGGTGTTAACATAAAGAGTTATGTGAATTTTTTTTTTGGTTGGTTGTGGGGCTTTAATTCTGGGCCTGGGCACTATCCCTCAGCTCTTCAGCTCAAGGCTTGAGCCACAGTACCACTTCTGTTTTTCTGAGTGGTTTATTGGAGATAAGAGTCTCATGGACTCTCCTGCCTAGGCTGGCTTTGAACCACGATCCTCAGATCTCAGCCTCTTGAGTAGCTAGGATTGTAAGCATGAGCCACCAGTGCCTGGCAAGAATTATGTGAAGTTTTAAAAATCTAATTACTTGAGATGTAAAAATCAATAGTCTTCAAACATATTTGAATCAACAAATATATTGCAGAAGTAGGGGGCATTTTACAAATTGGATCTTGCATTTTTGAAGGTTTTCTGATTTTAGTTTTTGTTCCCCTTCAACTTGCTATTGCCTTTTTTTCATTCTCTAATTCAGTATAGGAGCACTATACCCAAAGTTGAGAGGGAGAAATATATTATTAATGAGCTATTCCATAATTATTTTCCTTGGGAGTGTAAGGCCATACTAACACAAATATTTATGACATTGTTTAAGTATTTATGACATTGTTTAAATGCAGATTTTGTTCTATAAATATATACTGAAGGCTGAATGAACCTTTTATACTCTGACATTACGAAAGAAAAGAACAAGGAAACACTCATGTTGCAAGTATATGTTATAGAAAAGAACTCATTTTATTCAGTAAGCATTAATTTTGGGGACTTCACATAGAGAAATGTTCTCTTTTTTTCATAATTATAGGAACTATTTTCCATTGGTAGTCACTCACACAGTGGAACTATCACAAGACATGTAAATTACATTGCCTGTATGCCTGTTATACCAGGAACTGAGGGATTACAGCATCTGGTAGGCAGATTATGGTAATATCGTCCTAGGTTAACATTATTTTCTTAGGCAAGGTACTAGTATCTCTGAATATGAAGAGGAATTTAAAAGTAAGGTGGTTATCTGAGATTTGACATTTTAGTTATGCTTTTTCTTTCTTTTTTTTTCTCCTGATTTTTTTTTTTTTTTTTTTGGGTCCAGTAGTGGGGTCTGAACTCTGGGCCTGGCCGCTGTTCCTCAGCTCTTCAGCTCAAGGCTAGCACTCTACCACTTGAGCCACAGCGCCACTTCCGGCTTTTTTTCTTTTTGCTTATGTAGTGCTGAGGAATCGAACCCAGGGCCTCATGCATGCAAGGCAAGTGCTCTACCACTGAGCCACCTTCCCAGCCCCTAGTTATGCTGTTTCTAAGCATAATCTTTCTCCTGAGACTGTCTGTAGGATTCCATGTATGCATTGTGCACTCTGCCATAACTAAGTATTTTTGTTTCTGAGGAGTAAAAATCTGATTCTCACACTTTGACTCTCAAGCCTTGTTTGGTTCTGGTCTGAGTAGGTTCTCTGACAGAACCTGCTGCCTTGGATCTGAAGAGTGTGCTACAGTGTGAGCCTGATGAGAACATATCTGTGATTGACTTCTTATTGTTCCTCATTATATTTATTTTCCTTTAAACAATAATACCAAAGAGGAGCTGCCAAAGATGTAGAGTTCAAGATAGTAGAGGGATGGGTTGAAACAGTCATAAATCGTTTCCATCAGCTGTGGAGTCTCCACGTTGCTGGTAAAGATGTGCAAAAACTACTTCTACTACTACTAAAACGTCTATTGGAGGAAAAGTTGGTGGGAGATTATATTCTGTAGCACTTATTTTGCCCTTGTTCCAATTTAAGCAAGTTTTCTCAAGTGAGGTCCACAAAGATACAATCTGCTACAATTGCTACGCTCTTTGAGTGTGAAAGACAGAAAGCTGCAGCACTCTAGGCACTGATCAGAAGGAAATATGGAACACAACGACAGAGTGGGTCGATGATGGCCTGAAAAGCTCTAAACACTAATGCTCAGACAAGAAAAGCAGCAGCAGAAGTTTAAGATGAGCCTTCATTTTCTATTGGGGAGGATTCCTGATCTTGAGGAGGCTCTGGAAAGTTTATTTCTGTTTCTCCTTCTTCTACTTCTTCTTCTTCTTCTGCTTGGATTGGGATAATTTCAATGTCTTCTTCATTCTTTGGTTGGGAAGATACTTCAGTTAGTTCAAACATTTCTTCTTTCACTTCAATTGTCTGTTCTTTTTTTTCTTCAGCTGGCAGGAAAACCACACTCTAAAACAGAAACAAAATTTTCTAGACTTTTCCATTGACACCTTTCTCCATAATCTCTATAAATCATTTCCTAGTTGTTATGCTACTTATGTTATTTACCATAGACCTCCAACTACCAAGATTTCCTCAGTTGCTCAAATCGTTATCAGATCACTTATCAAAAGGCAAGTCTGAGTAAATCTTCAAGGGCTTGCCACTTGAAGATTTACCACTTTCCTTGGAATGCTCACACTGCCTAGGAAAAGAACACTTCAAAACACAGGTGTTTACATCCTAGTTCTGATTTTCTTTCAGTGATTATAACTCTGGGAACCATTGCTCTCTCTTTTTCTCTCTTTCTTCCTCTGTCTCCTTCCCTTCTTTTTCTCCTCCCCTCTTTCTCTTTCTTTCCCTTTCCACCTTTCTCTCCCATCCTTCCTTCTCTCCTTTCCTTTCTCTCACATTTTCCACATCTGTAAAACAAAAGAATTAGCGACAACCTCTTAAGTTCCATTCTCGATCTAACAACCTAGTACTGAAGCAGTTAATAGATCCATTATTGGAATATTCATAATTCCCTTTGTCAGAGCCTCTTAGAAAGCCTATTGTTTTGGAAAGAGAATTAGGAAAAGGGCAGGAGCAAGAGGAGAAAAATGAGAAGTGAAATTGAAGAACTAGTGACTTTAATCAGTCTTTATCTTTCTAATCACAAATTGCTTTGCAGTTCTAAAACATTTGTGTACATTACTGGTGTTCTTTGCTTTCTAGAAATGTGACAAAACCATTTCTTAAGAAGCTCCTAGTCTCCAAGTCTTACCCAATCTCATTCTCCATAAATAATCCTTTGTAGATATGAATTTTGTAGGAGGATGTGATGGGAAGAGGGTTTCCTACTTACAGCTTTGTGCCTGGAGCAAGTCCTTTTCCATTCATTCTCAACAATACCAGCAGTTACAAGATTCTGGAAGAAGGCAAAGATGAGCATCACTGACAAAATGCCCTGAGGGAAAAAACAACAACACAGGAATGGAGGTGAACATATACCGATAGAATGTGACTGATGCTCGTTAAATGACTGCTGACTACAATGAAATGATTACAAGATCAAATCATTAATATAATAATAACTGCCTGGAGGGACTGCTACTACAGCTAACAGTGTCTTCACAAGCCAAATGGCTTATGAAAGAAAAAAATGACTGAGTCCCAAATTAAATTGTATCCAAGTTTAGGTAGTATGGGATCACACCAAAGAAACCGTTCTACACCTAGAGGGTGTAGAATATCCCTGACTCTACAGTGAGACTCCTCCAAAGGAAAGATGGTTATCGCTTCTTAGGACAGCCATGTTCATCCTACTTAATAATGGGCTTGGGGCCTGGCTGAAATGGTAGAGTGCTTGTCTAGCAAGTGTGAGGCCCTGAGTTCAAAACATAGTGCTGCCTAAACAAGTTAAAGAATAGTAGCAACAATGATGCTACTAATATTAATGCCACTAATAGTATTATAATAATGCCATTAATAAACATAAATAGTACTTTATGCAAGATACTGTTCTAAGTGGTTTGCATGCATTTACTAATTTATTCCTTCAAACAACCCTATAACTAGTGTTATACTATTCTTTATACTATACCTATACTTTATATGACAGGTCTACTTATAGGTATACTATACGTATACTTTATAGTGGAAGAAATTGTGGCAGAGTATGGGTGAAATACTTGCCTAAAGCTGTAGAGGCATTAAGGAACAGACTCACACAGTCTAGGTCTAGAGTTGATTCTTGTAATAAAAAACCCCCACTATTTCTCCCCTGGAGAGAAATTCAATTTCACACTTACTAAGAAAACAGATTGCATGCTGTAACAGAATTGTGTAGATGCAGAGTTTTTCTCAGCGGGATTAGCTGGTTCACAGTTGTATATGTTAACATATGGCACGGGAGTTTTAATAAGATTCAGACTTTCCATTTTTAAAAAATGCGACATTGTAATATTAAGTATGTCCATGATCAAAAGAATTATTCCAGAAATGGCAGCAAAGAGGCTCAATGAGTTCATTATCACTTTTACTCTGATCTGAAACAGACAAACAGATTTATTAATTAGTTATGATTCCCATTGGAGAATATAGTCTAGAAAGAAATCCCACCTGCCCTTCTCCTGATTCACAAAAATGCCACATCTAAATCCCACCAAAGGTCTGAGGATTTTAGCCTCTTTGTCAGCATAAGCTTCAGTCCTCTTACTTATTCCAAATAGAAACCAAAAGCAGCAGCAATGATATGGCTACCTTCTCCTTATTGATGTAAGTTTCATGCAATCTCAGTCTTTCAAAATACAATTAAGGCTGTCATGGGTGAGCGAGCATGTGTGTGAATGTTTCACCTTGCAGGGATGAGAAAAGCTTGGAACTAGAAGGTGTATGTAACAGACACATTTTGGTACAGTTACAGTGACATTTTATGACACACATTTTTCATTTCTGGCTCTGTGACCTACCGATGGCCATTCAGGAGGTATGGCCAGACAGGAGGTGAGGCTGTCTTTGGAGAATAGAATAATTTGATCTTCATAAACAGTTTCTTTCCCCTAAAACTGAGTTTCTCAGGCCACTTCTAGAGAGGAACAAGATACTTAGACGCTGTCTGACTGAAAGTGACTCAGTTTAGTAGGTGAGAGAAAGTACAAGGAGAGAAATTTCTTGAGAGGAACCTTGTTGGTAGGGGCTTTACCTACCCAGCAGAATCAGGGGCTCTACAGGAACCCTTCTTTTTATGTATGAATGAATTGTAGGTGTTACATGAGTAACATCATACTGTAGCTTTTTCTTTTTTGCTAGTCCTAGGCCTTGAATTCAGGGCCTGGGTGCTATCTCTAAGCTTTTTTTTTTTTTTTTTTGCTCATGACTAGCATTTTACCATTTGAGTCATAATTCTACTTCCAGCTTTTGGGTAGTTTATTGGAGATAAGAATCTCATGGAGGGGCTGGGAAGGTGGCTCAGTGGTAGAGCGCTTGCCTTGCATGCATGAGGCCCTGGGTTCAATTCCTCAGCACCACATAAGCAAAAAAAAGAAAAAAGCCTGAAGTGGCGCTGTGGCTCAAGTGGTAGAGCGGTAGCCTTGAGCTGAAGAGCTGAGGGACAGCCCCCAGGGCCCAGAGTTCAGGCCCCACGACAGGACCCCCCCCCCCCAAAAAAAAGAATCTCATGGAGTTTCTTGCCCAAGCTGGCTTCAAACCATGATCATCATATCTCAGCTTCCCTAGCTGCTAGGAATTCAGGCATGAGCCACCTGCGCCTGGCCATGCTGTAACTTTTTAAAACTACTGGAACACTGTCACACATATTATTCCATTTCATTCTCATGCCGACTTCCTGGAGTGGCCAGAATTAGTATTCCATTTCTCTCTCTCTCTCTCTCTCTCTCTCCCTTCCTTCCTTCCTTCCTTCCTTCCTTCCTTCCTTCCTTCCTTCCTTCCTTCCTTCTCTTTCTTTCTTTCTTTCTTTCTTTCTTTCTTTCTTTCTTTCTTTCTTTCTTTCTTTCTTTCTTTCTTTCTAGTGCTAGGCTAGCGCCCTAGCACTTGAGCCACAGTGCCACTTTCAGCTTTTTCTGCTTATGTGGTGCTCAGGAATCAAACACAGGGCCTTATGCATGCAAGGCAAACACTCTACCAATAAGCCACTTTCCCAGCCTCTATTATTTCCATTTTCGAGCAAGAATACAGAGCTTCCTAGAGATAACTGATGTATTTGAGTTTATGACTTAAGGTTCTAACTCAGCTAAAACCTGAATCAGACAAAGCTGATTGGAGAATGTCTGTTTCAAGGATATTCTTTAAAAATATTAAAAGGGTTGTTGTTTGCATGTAATACTTAGTATTGACAAGTCTGTAAGTACAACTTCCCTGGACTTCTGGAAGATCTCATGTTTATGTACTTTCCTGAATAAAAATCACAATTGGCATAGTTAAGGATCTTTGCTTCGTAGATTTTAGTCTATGATGCCAGATCTCTTTAAGGGTCCTAGTTGTGAATGAAGAAGACAAATATTTCTCTGGTGTGTGGGAAAGGACATTGGTTTACTTGCCAGATTCTTCCTGAAGCTTTTCTCTGTGGCTGCCAGGAGTGATCCAGAAATAATGAACTATAAAAAAGAGAAGTGAGGTGGTGGATGGGGAGAAGTGGGGGGAAGAGGAGAGAAGAGAAGGAAGAAAGAGAAAAGAGAGATCATTTTTTGACACTGAAAACTGGTCATAAAAAAGCCTTCTACATATTTAGCCACTCTCACTGAACTATGCACCAGACTTTATTAAGTTCACTTATGTTTTGTTATCTGGCTACACCAGATAGGTAGCAACCTCTGTGCCTGGACCATTAAATTGAAACAACAATGTACAACAACAGTAATATGATTTAACCTTTATTGACATAGTTTGTAATCAGCCACAGTTAACTGTCTTTCAAAATACATTTAGGGCTGGTATCTCCAGATATGAAATAAGAAAATAATAAATATGAATTAAAAATTTTGATTTTCCTTTTCCTCTTGTTCACATTAACTTGTGCTTACTAGGCAGGCTCTCTACTACTTGAATTATGCCACTAGCTCTTTTTGTCTTTATTCTTAAAATAGCATTTTACTTTTTCCCTGCGATGGCTAAAATCTCATCCTACCTATGTATGCATCTCACCTAGTTTGTACATACCACCTCACCCACAAGGGGTCTTGTGAATTTTTATTTTGCCCAGGGCTGGTCTTGAACCACTATCCCTCCAGTCTTAGCCTACTGGGTAGTTGGGATTACAGACATGAAGCCACTTCTGGCTTATTTTTATTTGTTTAGTTAGTAACAATGTTCCTTGGAGTTCAGAGTAACTTAAATGGCTTTGATGTCAAGGAGAAGTCAGTGTAGAAGGAAATCCTTGGCCTGAAGTTCCTAAAAGTGTCATTCAAATGTTGGTCACGACAAGAAATGATGGTGATTATTTCTCAGCTGCTTTGGAGGGAAACCTTGTTGTAAAGAGTCTTCCTTATGAAACTTTAGTGCTGGACTCATTGCTAGAGTGGCAGCCATAAGGATAGACATCACTGCCCGGTGATGCAGTCAGCTCTGTTAATGAGTTTGGGAAACATGCGCCTACAATATTACAAAGGAGAGTTGCTATACTCCTAAACTTAGAGATTTTGAGGGGATTAGACCAATTTGTTCAGATGCCACAGTAAGCAATCAGAATTGATAGGAAGGAGCAGGTAGGAGAAGATGGGGTGCTCCTGTTTCCTTTTGCTTTTGAGCACCAGCTATCTAATGCCTCTCTACTCCCCCCCCCCCAGAATTAGCTGTGAAAAGGCCCTGATTTAAACACTCCTCCTTCCTGCACAGATCTGGGCAGAGCATCTTGCTTTGAAAAGTTCACACAAAGCGTGATTACTAATGCTCAACTATGGTACTCACACAGGTTAGTCACACTGTCTTACCATTTAATTATTTCAACCTAATAATTGTTATTCTATCTGTATACTTTCCTTAACAAAAAAATAGCCCCGATCTTGTTATTTTAAAGAATTTTTTTATTACACAAATATTACTTATTCTTACTTACCATAGTGCCTCCCCAGAGCGGGTACCACACTGTCACACAGATGGGTGCGTAGACCCCAGTGGGGATCAACAGCAGGCCACCCAGGGCAAGATGGAAGAGTCCATTCATGATCTGGACAGCCTGGGGAGAAAGGGACACTGTGAAGTGAAATAACTACAGCTGGACAGTGAAGAGGTTTGAACCCTGGGGACTGACTTGGGGGACCGCACAGGATTCCTAAAGAAAGTGGTAGGGGTGGCCTGTCTTTTTCTTGTTCATGTTCATTTCCCCACCACACAGTATATTTCCCTGTCATGTCTTGAATTTTAGCAATGGCTTGGAATAGAAGATCTTTAAGATTCAAACACAAAGAGGACCTAAGATGGCCTTGCAGTGAGCCTGGTGCAGTCTTGATTTAGGCCAATGCATCACACATAAGACTATATCATTTGGACCACATCACTCCCAGTTGGACTATACATAGCCTACAGGACCAGCGTCTGCCTGCCAGAGCATCTCTAGAATGTGAAGTATAAGGTGATGGACTTACCCCCAGAGCCTTTGATTCTCTCATGAAGAAGCTTTGCGTGGGGCCCACCAGGGAAGACACCCTCCTGAGGTTTACTTTGGGAGTAGCCTGCAGCCTAACGGGGCCTTTCATGGGCTCTGCTGGGAACATTCCAATCACTGAGTTTCTGGGTGTCGTCATTTTCTGTTCTCAAAACTCCTAGAAATAAATAATGTCAGTATAACATAGCTACAGATGTAAAACATTTGAATATCTGTTTTTAAACATTTGATATCTGCAGACTTGCAGTTCTGTGGGACTTTGGTAAGATAAATGATCTGGATTTTTCAAGTTCCTTTAAATGAGATACAAGATTTGACACCCCTGCTCCCCAAAGAAGGATTTACAGGGCTCAGGGAAAACAAAAAGAATTCACCTAAGTAGTTGATGTCAATAATAAATATCAAAAGCAAAAGGTTAGAGAGTGTTGAAATGAGCTGGACATTGTAAATCACCTTCTCACGTCAGAAACAAATCATAAGTAATAGCAAATAGCAGTCACCACATTCTTCCTGTGTTCTGGGCACATTCACATATGCCAATGCATTTCAAAGACTAGCTGGTATATTGTGGACTGAACATAGGATTTTTATCTTCAGTGATACTAAAATCTGAACTGATCCTAAAATCATGAGGCAGCTGATCACACACACTCTGATTTTATTAGCTCCGGCAACTTCTACATTAAAATTCTTATTTTCAAAGATGCTATTGTTTCTGTGTTCACCCTCTGAAGAAGCGTTCACAGTCTGTGGGTTTGGGTTTGAGCAATGACTTGTAGGTCCAATAACTCCATCATGTACTGAGACATTCAAGGCTGCCTTCCTTGTTTCCTCTACTTCCTCCTTTGCCACTCAAAATAGCTTTGCGTTTTCATCCTTTCAGCCTCTGTGCACTTATCTCTGAGAATAGATATTCTTATCTGTGATTTCTTTTCCACCAAGACCTTTACCCATTCAATGAATTGCTTCTCCCATGCTGTATACAGTCTCTCACTCTGTTGGCAGGAAAGTTAATTCCATCTTTGGTGGTACATTTGGGATCTCTCTGTAGAGTTGGGATAAGTACCTTACTCAAATACAAACTATTGTTTAGGTAACATAAGTTATTTTACAACTAAAGTGTTGCTACTTAAATTATTATTACTGAACCTTTCTTATAACTAAAATGTAGTGTCCCCAAACACAAAAGCCTCCTTTCTTAAATCTAGCAATGGCTCCAAGCACTACCCCATTTCCCCTTTACCTTAGATTCTTTAATGCTTTACATTTGACCCTTTCCCCCAACTTCCTCATCACCCACTCACCTCTCTATACTTTGCACCTAGTTTCTGTCCGAGGCATTCAGCTGAAACTGCTCATAGTGTTTAAAGACCACGCTGCAGACTTGGCTTTTTCTTCATGTTTTGCCTCAGATTGCCTTATTCTCTTACTCCCCGATTTAAGAAGTTGGAGCCAAATTTCATGCCAGCTCCTTCATTCCCCATGCTCAGCCAATTGCCAGATAGTGTTATTTCTACCTCTGCAATGTGTCTTGCCATGTGGACCTTTCTTGGTTTTGTACAAAAGTTTGTTTTTTTCGTCAGTCATGGGGCTTGAACACTGAGCCAGAGCGCTGTCCTTCAGCTCTTCAGCTCAAGGCTAGCGCCTTACCACTTGAGCCACTGGGCCACTTCCAGTTTTCTGAGTGGTTTATTGGAGATAAGAGTTTCACTGACTTTCCTGCCCGGGCTGGCTTTGAACTGCAATCCTCAGATCTCAGCCTCCTGAGTAGCTAGGATTACAGATGTGAGCTACCGGCACCAGCCAAAAGTTTTTTTTTTTTGTCTGCTGTCATTTTCTTTTCTAATATATCCTACACAGGGTTACTAGATCCAACTTTAAATCACTGCTTAAGTCATGCTTTTTCTCAGTGTAAATTCTTTTGCTGTCTTGTCCTTGCTTATTAGAGAAATTCTCCATCTGGCCTCTCTAGCCCTTTGTTCTTCAGCTCCACCTGACTTGCACATAACTTCCAAAGCTGGTGGCTCCACTGGAGCCACTGGCCTGGACTTGTCTTCTGTCTTCTCTGAATCTGCTCAAACTGGAGATGCCCTCTTCCTCCCTCTTCAGTTCCCCGAAGCCATCCTTGTCCTTACCTGATTGAAAAGATTTCTTCTAAGTCCAAAGCTTTTTTTGCATTTGTTACTGTTCATTCATTTCTTTTCAGTGTCCTACTAGGATTTCATAGGGAGCCCATCTTCTGCATAGTATGACCTCAATACATGTTCAATAGAACACTAAACTCTGTTCCTTCCACTAAATGGGTGCTCAAGATGCTGGTTTAAAGGATGATAAGTTCACTTCACTTGCCCATCAGTGAGAACAAGCCATTTGTTTTTGTCAGTCATGGGGATTGAACTCTGGGCCTGGGTGCTGTCCCTGAACTCTTCAGCTCAAGAAGAGAGCTCTACCACTTGAGCCACAGCACCATTTCTAGTTTTCTGGTGGTCAATTGGAGATGAGAATCTCGCGGACTTTTCTTGCCCAGGCAGGCTTTGAACAGTGATCCTTAGATCTTAGCCTCCTGATTAGCTAGGATTGCATGCGTGAACCACCAGCACCCGGTAAGAACAAGCTATTTTAAAGGAAATGGAAAGACAATTTTCTTTCTCCCTCTCTCAGACACAGACTCTTTCTCTGTCTGTCTGTCTGTCTCTTTTTCTCACTGGTTGGCCTCAGGAACCCATTATGATATGATTAAAATGAACCCCCTCTCCTGTCTTCTAGGTTAAGGTACAATTTTGTGCTCAGTTTAGTGTCCATCATCCCCTGTATATATAAGCATTAAAGTTTAACATCATCTGGGTGTATTTATTCTGTGACCATGACCAATTTTTTTCCTTTTTAATATTAGTATCAAAAAATCCTAAAGGCTTTTGTGTTTTTTAGCTCACTCATTCAGTATTCATGACATACTGGCAATACTTATTGTCTGTTTTGTGGATAAGCAAGCCGACACATGCAGGGATTTAGCAACTCACTTATATGGCTAGAGCTCCAGTTGGAATACATCAGGGTAGAAACCATGCTGTGGTCTCCATGCTGCATCTACTCCTTTTGTAGCCTGAATTGACTGCCCATGATAGTTTTGGAGAAGAGAACAGTTAAGAGACTTAAATGGACTTCAAGCCTTGAGGCCACCAGGATCAAACCACGGTGCTATTAGAAAGTCTGACTAAAGAAAGTCTTCCAAGAATGGAAACAGAATCTCCAATCCGCCTAGTTCTTTATCTATCATCTCATTTCAGCACTTTATTTTTTTTTTCATTTTTTTGCCATTTAACACCACAGTGTATGAATACAATATAGCTTGATTAATGTCACCTCTTTTAACACGCTCAATCATCCCTTCCCTATTCACCCCTTCCCTTACTCTTCTTCATGTTGTAGGATGTATATTAGATTCTTGGCTGCATTTCCCCCTGCTTCTTCTCCTCTTCATTTGTCTACCCTTTTCCCCCTACCCACACTCTACCACTTTCACATACCTGTTTCCTGCATTTTTCATTTTGGTTTCTCAAGGAATTATACTATTTGAGATCTCCCTTGAATCTACCACATCTCGGTAATACATTTATATACAGGCGCATTCCATCCAATGCACTTACTTAGGAATTTGTAAGCTAAAATCTAGCTTCCATATAGAAGGATCCTTTGTCTCTCTCTGGGCTTGACTTACTTAACATACTTCACCCCCCCCCCCCAAGTATTCCATTTCTTTCAGCCTTTTAAACAAAGCAAACTCACAGATTTTTACCTGAACTTCCACGACTTCCAATTTTCAAGGCTTCCAGGCTCCAAGGGCTGATCAGTTTGCTGCTTCTGGTGGCTCAAGAACTTGAAGGTGAATGAAATAGACTAGGCCGGGGGCTGCTATCTCTAGTAGATACCAGGTGACAGGAAATCAGTAGCTGCTGCTACCTTGCTCCAATTACTTTGGTTTAATATGAACTTAACCAGAGCCAAAAGAGAGAGAAAAAGTTTCTGCTACACCAACAGGTTTCACTTCTTGAAAAACACCCCCAGGGGACAGCACGGTGCTCTTCTTGCTACCTTAATTAGAAGAACTTCTGCAGCCCCCACCCTGCAAGCAGGTGTGGGTAGTGGGTCCCTAAGGGGTAAAAGAGCATTGGAAATTCTCCAAGGCTGGGCTGTTAGAACTTTTTACCTTTCTGCTTTGCTGAGGAAGCATCCATGCAGTGGTTCAAAGAATCATTGAGCACATGTTCTTGAGGGTGTTGACTTACCTGCTCACACTGAGGGTTCTAGTGTATCATGTTATGTCTCATGTCAGATTAGCAGAGATGGCTCATTCGCTTGAGGCAACAGTGAGCCTTCTCTCCATTTGGGTATGGACATTGAAATAGCACTTGTACCTGTGAACAAGTGTGTTTCTTCCATGTGTCTAGTTCCCTAGCTGCCCTCTTCAGTAGCAGATAGGGCTGCATGGTCAAGCCTAGTGCTGGATCAAGTAGGAGAATGGAGGAAGCTGGTGGCATCAGGATTCTAAACATCTGGGGAGTAAATCAAAGAAATATTTGTCCAAAGATATCAACTCCAGCTCCATATGCAAACTTTGTATTCATATGTTGGGATTTTCCATTACTTTAAAAGTTCTGTATCCAGTACTGGATTTGTTGGATACAGGACTATAAATTAATTATTTGTCCATTTAATCTAAGGATATGACAACTTTATTATCTAATCTGAGGTTATCTCTTCCTCCCCTCCCCTCCCTTCCCCTCTCTTTCCCTTCCCCTCTTTTCTTAACATGGGTTGGAATCATGTGGCTGAAAGCAGTGAATAGAAGTAGTTCTGGGGAGGGTGATTTTGGTGCAAGAAAAAAAGATGAAGCGAAGCTATGTACATATGACCATATAAGATTATGTTAAGCAAAATGAACCCCAAGACAGGGACACAGTGGTTTTTTTTTTCTTTCTTGCTATTGTTTTTAATGTACTTATAATGTACTATGTGGGGTTTTTTTTGTTTCTTTGGTATTTTACTCCCCCATGGTATAACCCTTGTTTTCACTGTATTTGATTCCAGTGCCCTGCATCTTGTATATACACTTTTCTAATTTGGGGAGGGGAAGGGAAAAAAATGAAATGCTTAAATAGGGATATAGGTTGACCCATTGTAACAATGAGATGTAGAAGACTATGTTGAGAATGAACTTTACAACTTCAATGGGGGGGAGGGGTAGTTGGAGAGGGAAGGAAGGGATGGTAGGGGGAAAACAAAGGAGGAGGCAACAATACTCGATAGGAAATGTACTCATTACCTTACTCGTGTAACTGTAACCCTTCTATACAGTATTTTTACAATAAAAAACTTATTGAAAATAAAAAAGAAAAAGATGAAGTATGTTGTTAGTGGAACAAGCTACGTTTGAATAGAGGTACTAATGTCTGTGATAATCCAGAATACTCAAGGATAGTTCATTCATTCATCTCTTAAAATGTTATAGCAAGTAGGGCAGTAGAAAGAGAAACTGTCTTCCATTTAAGATTCTAGTTGTGGGTCTGTGCTGCTGAAATGCTTGCGTGGTTACGACAGGGCTGACGATTATATAGCAGAATGTCTGAGACTGAGCAGTTTGTAAAAACAAAACAAAACAACAACAATAGAGATTTGGTTATAATAGTTCAGGAGACTAGGAAGTCTGAGGCCAAAAATCCTATATCTGGCAAGGGCCTTTTTTTTTTGCAGCATCATTTTATGGAGGAAAGCAGAGGGCAAGGGAGGGTGTGTGTATGGGAGAGAGTGGAAGGCCAAGCAGAAGTCCTCTGGTACCAGGCACATACTCCTGCAAGAACTATCCCGCTCCCGTGGCAACAGCATTCACTTCTCCGTGAGGGCAGGGCTCTCCTGACCTAAGCATGTCTTGGAAGCCTCCATTCTCAACATGGTTGTATTTGAGATTGGGGCTGGGTTGCAGATGCTGGTGAGGCGTGAGGTTTGGGCCCAGATAGGGAGTGAATGAGAGGTTGTGTGTGGGAGCAGGGTCTGGATGTGCAGACGTGCAGCCTGAAAGAGGCTGGAATTGGAATTGCACAACCTGATCTTTGCATTGGTGTCTGGTTTAGTCCTCTTTCCCCCCAACTTTGGGATGTTTGTTAATATGGACTTTGTGGCTAGTGAGATAACTTCAACACTACGTGTGATTCCTCCTAAATGAACTTGAGTTCAGTTTCTATGAATAAACATTTATCTTTATTGATTTGGTATGATTGCCCTTCCAATGATTGTGTTTTGATTCCTATTACATTTAGGATTTGATAATGGCATCTTTTTTGATGTATTATATTTCCCCCAGTTTAGTGTTTGAGGATATGTTATTATCACACATTCAATTTTTTTGACTTAGTGTTCTGTCATCATCTAGTGGTATTTTAGTTCCCAAAGATGATCTTTTCTTATAGTCTACATAAAAGCACACCAACTTTTCTTTAGTGAGTACCTGATATAAAATTTTCCTATTCCCTTCTTCTCCTACCAGTTTTTCGAATCCCTGAATGACTTTGCCTTGTTATGAAGACTAGACAGTACACTATAATTATTTAAGTCTTTTCCTTACTCAGCCCTTGGACTCTGTCTCTTGGAAGTGAGAATGGTTTTTATGATTGTTGCACCTTCTGCAGTGTCATGAGAAATATCTACGCTTTCACTCTTTCTTCCATCCATGCAATGATAGCAAGCTTTTTGGAATTAGGAAGTAACACTGCGGCCTGTTACCAGCTCCTCAGTAAGGCCCTGCCCTCCACACACATCTGCTATTAGTGGGGTTTTGTCTCAGAGCAGAGGTAGAAAAATACATGGATCTGCAGAAGTAAGGTTAAGTATCTAATTGAAAATAGAATTCAATTATAGCCCAGGAATTTCCAACATTGTACTTATAATTAGTTGTAAGGGAAATGTAAATTTAAGTATTGAAGCATACAGTGCTTTCTGTCTTCAAGAGCTTTCTTTTAACAGTTAGGAAAGTGACATTAATTGAATACTTGCTTACATGTCAAGCACTGTCTGTGTCAAGAGTTTTAAATGTAGTATGGATTGTCTTACATGTAATATAGATTGGCTGTGTTTTATACTGTCAGAAATTAAAGTTCAAAAAGTAGGGAAAAGCTGGGTGGCAGTGGCTCACGCCTGTAATCCTAGCTACTCAGGAGGCTGAGATCTGAGGATCACAGTTCAAAGCCAGCCCAGGCAGGAAAGTCTGTGAGTCTGTTACCCCCAATAAACCACCAGAAAACTGGAAGTGGCACTGTGGCTCATGTGGGAGAGCACTAGCCTTGAGCTGAAGAGCTGAGGGACAGCGCCAAGCCCAGAGTTCAAACCCCACGACCACCACCACCAACAACAAAAAACTAGGGAAACTGGCTCCAAATAATCACATAGCTACTAATTGATAAAATAGGTGATGTGTAAAAAGGAAGAAAATCTGAACTAAACATTTAATAACTTCTGCCATTACTAAGTGATTCATAAATTTCAAATGCTGATGAAATCATGTCACATATTACATGTTTCTTTGAAGGTTTACAGCAAACCTGTTAGGTAGATAGGGACTTTGTTTAGGAATTTAGTATGAGATTTTTTTTTTTTTTGCCCGTCCTGGGGCTTGAACTCAGGGCCTGGCCACTGTCCCTGAACCTCTGTGTACTCAAGGCTAGCTAACTCTACCACTTGAGCCATAGTGCCATTTCTGGCATTTTCTGAGTAGTGTATTAGAGATAAGACTCACAGACCTTCCTGCCCAGGCTGGCTTCGAACCATGATCCTCAGATCTCAGCCTCCTGAGTAGCTGGGATTACAGATGTGACCAGAGCTCGACTACCATTTAAAACCCCCAAAATTTAAGTAGTTTAATAAAGCCACACAGCTTTACATAGCAAAATGCCATTTAAATGTCGGCTTGACTTAAAAGTCCTAACCATGATGTTTTCCAGGATTCTTACCTTTAAGTACTTCTAGGACCTCATATCTCTGAATATCATTTAGAGATGGAAAATTATTGTCAAATACTTTTTACCAGAGACTTATTCCATGAGAAATAAAAATCACAGTTTTCTCCCGGTGTTACCATTCCTTATCTTCACTCATTACCTATAGATAGTGGCTTCTTCCACCCCATAGAATAAATAAAAGCCTATTTGTATATTTTCTTGAGTATAAAGTTCAACCCCCCCCCCATGTCCAGAGTACCATAGGGTAATGAAGTTTGGGCTTAGAATATTAATATTGAAATCCTGATTTTAAATCATGCTCCTTTTGTGGACTCAGAAAAGTTAGCTACTTTGAACTTCTTGTCTGTGACAAAAGTCCTGTCTCTTTTAGAGGACTGTCATGACAAGAGAGAAGACACAGGTAAGAGCACTAGTGTTCAAATACATTCAGTTGGTGAAATGGAAGGCAACAATTCTCTTAAGTGTGGTCTGAGAGTCATGACCTCCAAAGTACATTAAGAAGTTATTTCTGGGGCTGGGAAGGTGGCTCATGGTAGAGTGCTTGCCTTGCATGCATGAGACCCTCGGTTCGATTCCTCAGCACCACATAAGCAGAAAAAGTCAGAAGTGGCTATGGCTCAAGTGGTAGAGTACTAGCCTTGAGCTGAAGAGCTGAGGGACAGCGCCCAGGCCCAGAGTTCTGGCCCCTCGACTGACAAAAAAAAAGTTATTTCCTCCTTTCACAAGATTACACAGGCTATAGTATATGAGATATAACAGACTGAAGGCAAAAACCATTCAGTGGTCTTCTGTGATGCCACAGTAAAGCAGCGGATTTGAAGCATGTCCCTCTGTACCAAGATCCCCTGTAAAAAAAAAAAAAGTCTGCTTGTGTCTGGCTTTCCTGAAATTCTGATTTCATATGTGTTTGTGTGTGATACTTTTAATAAAGTTCCTCAGATGATTTAAATGGGCAGTAAAGCCTGTG